TGTTTTTCCCTCACAGCGACATTGGGATGAAACATTCTACGTTTCTAGTCCTCCGAAGCGCTCTGCTTTCAAGGCATTCATATGCGACATGTTAGTGGATCTAGTGAATCCAAAAATTCTTAGAATTGGCAAATGATTTTCTATATAAAAATCCATAAACCAGAAATATCGACCAGCCTTTGAAAAACCCATCAATGCCTCAATCTGCCTCCGGAACATAGAAGAACCCGTCGTCGAAGGTTGTCGGAGGAGTTTCTAGAGTGAGAGAGATGGGAGGGAGGGAGGGAAAGAAGATACAAGATAATATTATTTTTCTTTTATCGTTTAATAAGAATATAATAATTAGTTAAAATTTATAATTATCCATGTATCGTGGACAAATGTTTGATTTTGTTCCACGTCATCAAATTCATTCCACCTAAGCAATGATTTTGTTAATGATTTGACTATTATTTTTCAAAAGATTTGAATATTATTTTGTTTAAAATGAAAGGTTTGACTATTAAATCTAGATAATAAATAAAAGCCGAATGATGAAAACTGTTGCTCCATTTCAAATTTCCTGCAACGAGAGTGATTATAGGAAGGACATTTTGGTCTTCACAATTGCTTATTTTCTTATTTATTTATTCATAAAAAAGGCATGCACTGGGATTTGAACCTTGGTCTCTTTAAAGACAAGCAAGGATCATAACCAATCACACTAAGTATATTTGTTGTATCTATTTAAATTCAAACATACACGAACCTAAATTATGAAAATCATATGACTTTTTTAACGATTAGTTGGCCACTGAATCTCCCGTAAGTACTTATTTGGTGTTTTAATACTTTGATTATTTTAGTTGTAGTTTAATACTTAATTTAAATTTCTATCTATTTTATAAATATACAATAAACCTAAAATGTCAGCCCAAATATCACTGGTTCGAATATTGCATATCGAATTGCAATATTAAACATGTAGAAGCAATATCGACTTCTTAAATTAATATTATTTTTCAGAATTACTATGGAGAAATTATATCTTTGTGCAAACTGAGACTGGTTCTTTTAATGTTTTAGTCGGGATGACCGCTACATTTTAAACTTCTTCATAATCTGGCATGATTGGATCCAATGATCATTATACAAGATTGTGTTTAATAGGGTGGCTCATTTCACCACTTTTTGGCGTGTTAATGAATTTGTAGGACAATGACAGGTCTACATCTACACTCATCACAATCTACACATCATATAAATGTGAAATGTGAAATGAGAAAAGAGGGATTCCATTTCAAATTTGATGCGTACAGAGCAATTTTTTAGGGGTAAATTTAGAAGATGCCAGTGCGGTCGGTCTGTTGAGCACGAAAGTAAAAATATGTTTTCATTTAAATGGGCCCAAACTGTTATTTGGCCCACTAATCGTGCACCCATCGCCAATGCAGTCAAATTCGGGATTTTGATCGTAAAATCGTAGAATTTTACTTAGGGATTCCGATCTTGATTTTACTATAAAATCGGTGGACCTTAAAATCGTTTAAAATCGGGATTTTGATCGTAAGAGAACAAAATAGGTGGTTTGAGCCAATTTAAAATAAGTATAACTGTTTCAGTGGAAAGGGCAATGGAATCTTCTCAGATATTTTTCTATTAGAAAAATATTCAAAAATAATAAAAATAACCAAATTAGGGTTCGGTTAATCTCTTTCCCTTCACCCCATTTAACTTATTGGTAAAACACCTGTCCGAATATTGGAAGTATGTAAGAATTAACATCATTATTAACTAATTAATTTATTAATGAATATATTTGTACCAAGCCACTAACATTACTTATTTTATTGGAGTTCAATTATTTTTAGTTTTAAATCATACTTAGTAGACGATGTCGAAATATTACTTTGAGTTAAACAACCTAGACATAACATGAAAATAAGAGCCAAACCCATGAACTATATCCCTTCATCATGAATTATTTTGAGTTACACATTAAATAACAATTAAAATAGTGATTTTGGGACATTAATCTTGAGAATTATCTTATGGAAAAAAATCTTCTGAATTATCATTTTAAATGCTATGTGTCTTTGTAATATTAATAATTTACCTTATTAATATTCTTATATGCTATGTTCTATATGGTACTTAAAATCCTACGATTTTACGATTCGATTATACGATTTTGATTTTACCCCAGTTTTCGATTTTAGGTAAAATCTCGATTTTAACTGCTTTACCCATCACAGCCTCTCCAAATCTTCCTATTCTACTCGCCGGGTCATCTCCTCCACTACAAAATATCTCCTCATGTACTCAAAGTTCTCACTGAAACCTAATATCTACAACTTAGGCGCAGAGGGAGCAACCGATGGATTGTAGCGACCCCCACTATTTTGATAGCTAATCAAGAAGAGCGTGTTTCTTTAGTTGTATGGTGATTCACTTAATTAACAATTTTTATTCCGTTGACAGCCTCCTCTCCGCAATTGTATTGTGTTCACGAAGATCTGAAGGCGCAAGTGCAACAGGTCCAGGGGTAAACAATATGTATAAAGCGTTGGCCAAATTGAATTGAGTCATTCTACTTGGAATATGAAGATTTTTGCTTAATTGCTTTGGTTCGTGATGCAACTATGTTATGTTTGAAGGTAGACCAACGCAAACAACAGCACAGCTCCAGGGCTATTCTGCACATTAGGTAGTTGGGGCATTAATTGATAATTATTTGAGATTATTCCTACAAGTACATAATTTGGAACGTGCCTTTATATTGCATTGATTAATAGTTGTTTGAGATTTTTCAAATGAGTGATTTGACATGTTAAACTCTCTTATTTTTGAAAATGGAGTCTTCGAAGTGGAATATGAAGATTTTGGATTAAGCTTGGTTTCGTAACGCCCTTATGGGTGTTTATTCTCTAAAATGCAGCTGTCTTTCCAAGTGCCCGTTGCAAATGGCAAGTCAGGATACAACGATGGTACCGGTACACGTTTATATCATTAGTAGGTAGCAGATTGTGTCCATTCTACTATATCATTTAGCTAAATACTTAGTTGTTCTTTTCAACTAAAAATTATGCTTAAATGTTGTGATTGGCCTCAGAAATGTATGTCTTTGCATTAACTGTTAATGATTGTGAGTTTTGGTTTAATGGTGAAAAGTCCATTTATTTAGAAGTCTAAATTGGGCAAACCTATTGGACAATAGGAATGCCATACATTAGTGTCGTGGGAGGTTTGTTTGATGTCTCAGGGTGTTAGATTTTTAAGAAGGTTGTTTGTTGTGGCAAAGAGTCCCTAAAGCTAGCGAGGTATTCCTATGTGGGCTTTTTCTTTGTTTGACTTTTTCTCGCCTTTTTTCTTATCTCTTTTTCTATTTTTGGTTTTTGTGTGCTACCTTCAGTTGCTACGTCTTCATTTGTGAGCCATCTATACTTTTCTTATTCAGTGCCTAAAAATCATATATACTCGATTGCATAGTAGTTACTAATAGATACATTTATACCAATAGAGAGATTTTAAGTTTTATCAGTTGTTAGTTTTAATATTTACTTACATTGGTTGTTTATGTAGTTTTCTTTGTAATATTTCTCATTATACAACTAATTACTATGGCTACGTAGTTGTATAAGTGGGGGTTGGACATGATAGTTCTTAGAAGCATCAATACTTGAAGGTTATTATAATGACCAAATTCTAAAGTTATGGTTTGCCTTCAACTTGCTAGGAGCATTTCAATTATGCATCAATTGTTCTCTCCGTGTAGTTAACTCTCAGACAAATCGAAAATCTTGCTGATATGTGCTTGATTGTAGTTAAATTTAGGGTTCTACTGCATTGTTGTTTTACTCTTTTTTCGTGGTTGAGTTTGCTTCAAAAAATTTAGTTTGATTTTAGAAAATTTTGCTTCTGCAGTCCTGTCTTGCCACCAACGCGTTCAATAGATGGAGACGGGAGAGGCGAAGGCTATTTTTGTGTTGTTGTTGCTGGTTTAGGGATCGGTTTGTGAAGAAGAGGGAGAAGAGAGGGGGAAAGGGAAATGCAGGAGAGGGGGATAACTCTTTTCTCCGACAAAAATGGAGTGAAGAAAGGAATTATGATCAGTAAGAATATGGTTATCTTACATAACGGTCTCTATTCTGTTTGAATTGAGCTTGAGAGGCAGTGATAAGGACGGGCTGCAACCAATTCATAGTGAGAAGAGAGCTATGAACTGTGATCATGTCTTATTTCAAGTTAGAAGGTAGTTTCAGTATAAGGATTATTTAATTTGACAAGTTGTTTCGTCCATGATTCTTGGTAGTTTCAGTGCCATTCTAGCCAATGTTTAGTCTGTAATTTTTGAGAATTGATGTGCGAGTAATGACTTTCACTTAGCTTCAACTATTATGTGTGTATTTATTGGCATGTGATAGAATTCTCTTTTCCTTTTCATTGAATTCATTTTCATACTCTAATTGTATTATTTGTACATAGGCAAATCATGCTCGAGATGGCAACTCGCTGATATGGCTGGTGCAAGGAATGAAGCCATCATTAGAATTCAGACCGACAACGGGGAGGGATGCCCAGGACTAATTCAATGATGATTGATGATGGTATAATAAAAACTGCAGTCTGCATCAGCACCAATTTCTAGGCCTAAGTAAAGGTATTCAACCCAGAACTCTGCTTAGCGCTAAAAATTGCCCTCACCCAACCTTGATCCTGTTTGACCCACTTCTGAAGAGTCAAGATATATGACTAATCCTTCCCGTTCGTATTTTCTTATTGACTCTTTCTGACCCTGTAGGTTGGGGCGGGTCGGGAAGAATTGGATTAGTGGGTCGGTACTAATCAAGTGGAATCCCAATCCCTTCACTCTCACTTGCTTTCTCTCCCATTCCACAAGTGGGTAACATACAGTAATCCGGCCAACGGACCGGGTAATAAGCTAGTTGTATTCATAGACTAATATAAAAAAGCATTTTCGGCTTGTGTGTCCGGCCCAGCCCAAATTCTTCCGTGTCCCTAATAAATACCCTCCTGTTCTGCGGTTGCAAATCAGAAAGGAATTCGCAAGAAGAAGCGTAGAACGGCGTATCCTCTCCCAAGAGAAGTTAGGGTTTATAATTGTTGGAGTTTCTTGTGCAGTTGAGCGAGCCATTTACCATGATCTACGACGTCAACTCTCCTCTGTTCCGTTCTTTCCTCAGCCAGAAGGGTGGCACTTCGGACAAGAGGTACCCTTTCTCCATATCAATTTCTTCTCCAAAGTATGTTTAGGGTTTTGCGATTGTACTTCTTAATCGGCCATGTGAAATGTGCGCCGTCGAAGGATCTGGAGACTGGAATCATGCCTGTTCATCCTTATGATTGATTGGCCTTTCTCGGAGATAGTTTAATTAATGCGCCCATTTACGTTTCTGCTCTCGACTTTTAAGATTTACTTAGCTGGAATGGGACCGAAAACTTGATTTTGACCTAGGGTTATTGGACTTGGAACGTGACTGTGTCCCGAGGCTCCTTTCGGTTCGCTTTGTATGCATTGGGGAATCCTTCTTGTTTGTTGAGCGAATTCTTATTTCTGCGCTTGGTTCCGTAATCCAGTTCTCCTGTCTCAAATGTGTGCTAGTATCTCTGCTCTAAAACTTTTTTCTATTGCCAGGCATCTGCATTTCTATTGATATTTCGGTCTGTTGGTCCGTTTATTGTGTCAGAAATTATAGTGCCTGCTTTGTGCTGTTTTGCTTTGTAATTTCCCAGCTGTGATGAACTTACGATGGGGTTTATTTCTTAAAGTTGATCATGTGCTGTGGTGCTATGTAATCTTTGGATGTCATGATGTCTGAACAAATTGTTTACTGCGTGTACCAGGAAAATGGAGGAGCAGAAGCCCAAGGAACAGAGGTTCAAAGCAAATGAGAATAAGCCAGTTATGACAGAGTAAGGCATTATGCGAACAAGCAAGTTCTTTGGGGTCCAAGTAGTGGAATAGCCTATGATAGCACGGATAACTAGTCTGAGTGTTATTGTAATGCGTTTAATATGTCGTGTATTTTGTTATGAAAGAACCTCTTAGTCCGTGATTTCGAATCAATTGTCTGCACGATTACTATGGAGTTTGTTATGAGCATATGACTCTTTTGATGAGTGTGGTATGGTTTCGCAATCTTGTCAAAGAGATGCTTTCATCGCTCTTGTGCATTACATTTTCATTTTTCTGCCCATTAAATTCTAGTTCATCTTTTTCAGACATCCCTGCCTCTGTTCTGCTATCCGATTGATTGAATGTAAGCTTAGATTATATAGAGATAATAATGTAGTACTGCAATCCGTCTATAGCTGCCCTGCAGTTGATGGACAGCATTTAGTAGTTTAGCGTTTGGTTGTCATTTGGCGGGGGCACGGATGTCGGAGGGAGTTGTGGCTGTATGTATGTGGTCTTGGTTGGCACTGCCTGTTTGAGTTGCATAACAAAGTCGAGTTAAACAGCCCGCCACAAGGATTAGTAAGAGATAGTTTGCTACTATTTGGGATGGATTTGGTCCATTATCGATTTCAAAAGCTTGTTCTTTGCTTGTTGGAATTGTTGATGGATTTTTATTTTTATTTTTATGAATAAGGTGTTTTATTATTCATCAAGACAGGATTGGCAGTGTCTCTCTCCTAACTGGAAACATGTTCAAAACCCATACAAGGCCCCCTATCTAGGTCTATACAAGTGATTACACAAAAACCATGAGACCTTATACAGAACTTTACAACTTTAGTATCTAAATTGCAACACTATCTATTAGAAAGGATTGAAGCTGCAGCAGGGACACTACATTTCAGCAGTCGTAGGAGATCCTGAATCTTCCTCACCAGTTGCTCTTCATCAAGTGTTTTCCCATCATAAAGCCTTCTACAAAGCTCCCTCCACAGTTCACTTGTCATCATCATCCATACCAATTTGTTGTATCCTACAATACCAGATTCTGCTTTGAATTTCATTACTGCCTGATGCAATGAACCATTCTAGGTGCTGCAAAGTAGGGAAAGAAGCCTCTTGAATCACCTGCATGACCTTCCTTGAATAGCTGCAATAAAAAAACCAGTGGTCCCTTGATTAAGGGCCACATTTACATAGTGGACAAAATTTTATGATCATCCTATTCCACTTCCGAATTTTGTCTAAAGTTGAAATTCTATCCTGAATGATCAACCATACGATGAGCATATCTCGTGGTAGACACAGCGATCGCCAAACCAGCTTACTCCATGGAACTTGGGCTGGTTTAACCCTGATTACTTCCCAAACATTCGAAACAAAATATTTTTCCATAAGAGAACCATTCCAGTAAACACCATCGCTTTTACCTGTAGATATTCTTCTGCTAGCAATCTAGCCTTCAAAACTTTCCTCCAAGCCCAAGAGCAGTTCATTGTAGGAGGAATACACCATATGGAAGTGTAGGATAGCTGATATCGTCTTACCCAGCTCGCTCATAGTGAGGAAGAGTTCGACAATATCGCTCATAACTGTCTTTTTAAGCAAGCTGTATTTCAACTCTGTAGATATTTAAATCCCAAACCTCCTTCAGATTTTGGTAAAGCGACTCTATCCCATTTGATCTTAGCTTTCTTCCCTTCTTCCTCCGAATCCCATAGGTAATCAGAACAAGCTTTTTCAATCTGCTTAATCAGTTTTACAAGTAGCTGAATTATATTCATCCAGTATTGTGTGATACTGGCAATGACTGAAGAAACCAAGTGCAATTTTTCAGCATAAGATAGTGATCTTGAATTGATGGATTTTAGGCGATGTATTTAGTATTTATCACTTTAAACGGTACGTTGTTACTACTTCTGCTTTATTTGTTTTTATATACGGTGGCAAGACAATTGTTGATAGTTTCACGTACTAAAAATGGGGTTTGAAATTAATTTTTGAGCAATTGTCAACCATCAGAGAAAAGAACTAAAGAACACCTCCAGTAGATGAAAAGGTTTACATCATTAGCATACCTCATCTGAGAAACTAATATAAACTCAACGTTCTCTCTTTGTATTTGTTATCATCATAAAGCGGCCACCATTCATCTTTCATCAATCTGAACAACACAACCAGCTTCAACGAGATATAATTGAAATAATTAATTATTAAATGTACAATAAGGTAATTGTCCGTAAAAAATTTGATGCCATAGCCAAATCATAAGGGTTGAATTTTACAAGTTCGTGGAATTCACGATTTTGGATAAAAAAGTTCAAATTTGTGAACTGCACCCATCAAACAAACAAGAAACAATTTGTGACAGGAAAAATTCATACGGTTTGAAATTTTGGTCATTATCAAATTCAACAAGTAAACGAATTCTAAGCAATGGGGTTTGGTCAAGAACATCCATTACTGGGAGCTTTGATAAACTGAATCGCTATTTGCCGCCCGTAGTTTTACTATTTGCCGCCCATAGTTACAAAAAATATGACGAATTTGCCCTTTCTTCTAACTAATCCTAAATCCTATCAAACCCATCCCCTCACAACCTCTTCCCTCCTTCCACAATAGCCGCCGCCGCCGACCCCTCCATTCCTCCGACCTGGTTTGCCGACCACTCCATTCGTTCGGCCTCACTCGCCCCCCTCACAAAATCGCGGACATTGAAGAGGAAAGAGCTTGCCGCGGGTGCTGTCATCGCCGACGTAGAGGAAGGAGACGGGTCCGACCGCCGGACGCGGACAGGGTCCACTCGCCTTGCGGGGACGGGGTCCGAATTCTGGCGGCGGTCGGTTCCAAGACCCGACGGTTACTAAATTTTTTTTCAAAAATCGTTTTTGAATGATTTTTTGTTTTTATTTTGTAAACAATTAATTATGAGAATTATCTTGATAAAGATGAGAGAGGATTATAGGGCAATTAATTTGATAAATACTTATTGACGAGCGCCAATTAGGGAAAAGGCATTGTATTTGTTGGGCCCGAAGCGCAACCCTCCTCCCCCACCAGAGCAGGCGCATCGCGGGCGATCGCCAGACAGGCGCGCGACCAACGCCTACACTCCCCTAAACGACTCCGTGAGGAACGTGTTCCACGTTCTCCGCGAGAAAGGCTACAAGCTCAATTGGCCCGCCCCGTTGAAGTCCCAACCCCACATGCGCAATCCAAATAGGCATTGTGAATTCCACAGAGCAACGGGGCACCAGACGGAAGACTTCTGAGAGCTACGGTACGAAATAGAGGGCCTCGTACGGCGAGGATTGCTCACCGAGTTCATTCACGTAAAAAAAGAGCAGAATGAGGCCCCGCAGCACCCGTCCCCACCCTCACAAGCCGATTACGACGAAGACACAGGTGCGTATGTAGTGCGCAAGGAAATCGGGGTGGTGACGGTTGAAGGAGATCGCCCCAAGAAAAAAACCAAGCGTGAGCGCGCGACGGAGTGCGCGGCTGTCGACACACCGACATAGTTCAATCTGAGCTTTGGTGACGCGGAGTTCCCACAAGGAATCCCGTCGGAGGAGCCACTCATCGTCACTGCGCTAATCGCCGCCTGCAAGACCCACCGCCTCCTGATAGATGGGGGCAGTGCGGCTGACATCCTCTTCCAGAGTACCATTAACAAAATGGATATCGACCCGCGCCTAATCAGGCCTGCGAAAGGCAACCTGGTCGGCTTCTCCGGAACCAGAGTCCCGGTGATTGGAGTGGTCACCCTCCCAGTGGTAATCGGCGACCTGGAACCGCGCGTCTCCAAGCAAGTAGAGTTCACAATCGTCAATTGTGAATCGGCGCACAACGGCATCCTGGGCCGACCTTTCCTTGCGAAGTTCATGGCCCTCCCGTCGACATGCCACCAGAAACTCAAGTTCCCAACACAGAGAGGAGTTGGGGAAGCACGGGGAACGACATGGGAAGACCGCGTTGTGACGCGCCAAACCAACATCGTCGACACAAGAGCAGAAGAACCCCGACCGGAGTCCATGGACTCCGATTTCGAGGTCGCGCTGGACTCCGCCGAGCCGACTAGAAAGATACGCATCTCCACTCACGTCAGCAGCGACGCAATCGAACCACTCGTAACTTTGCTGAAGGAGTACAAGGAGCTGTTCGCATGGTGCACAGAAGACATGCCAGGGGTGCCCAGGGAAGTAGCTCAACATAGCCTTGCGGTCCCAGCCAACGCAGAGCTAAGGCCACAAGGGCGGAGGAGCTTCACTGGCGATAAGCTGAAGGCGATAGAAGAAGAGGTGGCGCGCCTACTAGCAGCCGGATTGATCCGCCCCGTAAAGTATCCAAAGTGGCTGGCAAACGTGGTCTTGGTCAAAAAATCGTCAGGAGCTTGGCGGATGTGCGTCGACTACACCACGATCAACAAAGTATGCCCGGGAGATCCTTATCCCCTACCACGCATCGACCAGCTGATCGACGCAACCGCCGACCATGAGACACTGTCTTTCCTCGACATGTTCTCAGGATACCACCAAATCCCAATGTCCGAGGAAGACGAAGAAAAAACGGCTTTCATGACGCCGTTCGGGAACTTTTGCTTCGTAGGGATGCCGTTCGGATTGAAAAACGCGGGCGCGACGTACCAGAGAATGATTGACACTGTTTTCTCGCGACAGATCGGGCGGAACATCGAGGCATATGTGGACGACCTCATCGTCAAAACGAAGGCGGGCAAGTCACACCTGGAGGACCTGCGCGAGACTTTCGAAGCCCTCCGCAAGCACAGCCTTCGCCTCAACCCACTCAAGTGCGTTTTTGGAGCGGAAGCTGTGAAATTTCTTGGGTTCATGATAACCAAGCGCGGCATAGAGGTCGACCCGAAGCAAATCACCGCGGTCCAACAACTACGGGCGCCTCGGAACGCGTTGGAAATCCAATCTCTGAATGGCAAGATAGCGGCACTGGGGAGATTCATACCAAGGTCCGCTGACAAATGTGCGCCCTTCTTCCAGACACTCAAGAACGGGACACGCTTCACATGGTCTACAGAATGCGAAGCAGCATTCCAAGAACTAAAGGCGTATCTTGTATCCCCCCTGTACTGACTGCCCCCAAGCTTAATGAAAAACTTTTCTTGTATCTCGCTGTGTCAACAAGGGCCGTGAGCGGAGTGCTGATATCTCGAAGAGATGGCAGAACCGAGCAACCGGTGTATTACACCTCGCGCACTCTCGTCAGCGCGGAGACAAGATATTCCTCGATCGAGAAGGCTGCCTTGGCACTAGTAAGCGCTTCACAGAAGCTGCGCCCGTACTTCCAAGCGCACCA